TCACCCCCCTCACCTCCCGCCGCCTCACCAGACACAACAGCCCCACCAGCCGCACCAAAACAACCCCCCTCTGCCTCCACCGCCGCCTCCTCCGCAGCAGCTGCCCCCGCCTCAGTTGCCGCCGCCGCCGCCGCCTCAGTCGCAACACCTCCAGCAGCACCACCACCATCATCACCATCACCACCACCGGGGCCCCTGCGCTAACGCCGGCGGCTCTGGCGCTACCTCGGCCGCCGCCGCCGCTCTCCCTCCCCCTCCTCCTCCGCCCGGGGCTGCCGGTGCCGCAGACAACAAGGACAGGGAGAGTAACTGCAGCGGCAGCAATGCCCCCCCTGCCGCCGCCGCCGCCGCCGCCGTGGCCCCCACCGGCCCGGCCCACCACGAAGCGCCAAAGTTTACGCTCGAGTCTCTGGAGCAGACCGTCAGCAACGACTCGGAGCTGTGGGGGCTGCTGCAGCCCTACCAGCACCTCATCTGCGGGAAAAACGCCAGCGGTGAGTCAGGCGAGCGCCGCGCCGGGCCCTGCCCACCTGTTGTGGTGGTGGTGGTGGTGGTGCCAGGGAAGGCGGGCGGGGTAGGTGGGTGGGCAGCCAGGCCGGGAGGGCTGCGGGCACGGGCGGGCTGGTGTGCCGCGCTGCCCGCTCCAGCGATACCGGGGTGGTCTCCGCTCCTCCAGCGGGAACGATGGAGAGGTCCGTACCCGCCCCACACACACACGCTTCGTTTTCATACATAACATCCCGCCTTGGCCGGTGTAAGAACGAGTCTGGCCAACTTGTGTCCCTGCCAGTACTGTGAGGAGGACAACTTCTTTCATTAGGCCTAGTCATCCAGTAGTGAGGGATGATGGGAGGTGCAGTCCGGCACCTGGGCTAACCACCCATTCTGGTATAGAAGAACGCAAGCCACCTGCTTAGTGGAGACAACAGCTCTCCTCTGCTTTGGAGCAGTGTCTGCAACAGTTTGGCCACCCATCCTGTGCACATGCTTTCTTGGCAGTAAGAAGCCTCTTCCAGACAGCCGGCTTTGTGGGTCTATTGCGGCAAAACTGGACTGGAAAGAGTCTTGTGACACTTTCAAGTCTAGCAGGTTGATCTAGGGAAGGGATGAGGAACTTGTGGCCTGGCCTGCTAGATCTTTCTGAACTGTCACTTGCATCAGATGGAAGTGGCAGCCCAACATCCAAGAGGGGCAGGTTCTCTCCCCCTTGCTGGATTACGGCATACACCTCTTCCTTACTTGGTGCACTTAAGTTGTGTTAGAGTGCAACTCCCATCGTCCTAGCTGTGCTGACTGTGCCAGCCAATTAGGATAACACCTGGTTGGGTGAAGGCTTTGTGGACTGGCTGCCCCTCAGGAAATGGAGTCCTCCTTGTGAAATTCTATTAAATTGTTACATTACACAGAAGAATTTCTTTGTCTTTACTTGGGAATTATCTCCAGGAATTTGACGAGCCTTGCAACCAAGTAGGCATGCATAGGCTTGCACTATTTGCTTTTTGGAAAATTAGTGACATTTTATTACTTCAGGAATTCTGGAGAAGTTCTGGAAGTGTTTCCATTGTTGTGATCCTATTGTTCACTAAAGGCAATCTGTTGTATTTCTGTGGTATTTCTGTTGGCAGAAAGTTGTAGAGCAACATTCTCTCTCATTGTTCTACTGTTCTGCTAGAAAAGGCTGAAGTATTAGTAATACAGCTGGTAATACTGATGGTGAAGACTGTACTTTGTGTCTGTTTTGCTGAAGAACAGTGTTCTGTGCTGGACTTTTGGAGACAGCTGTATATTGTAAAGAGGTATTTGCTATGTTGAGCTGTTGGATGGTACTAGGGAAACCCAGCCCTGTATCTGCAGGATTTTAGATGGCTATACTGCAACCAACTTCAGTGAAAGATGTAGCCTGCATATCTTGCCCAGGCACTGCTCAGAGCTGAAGGTTTTTACAGTGCCTAAACACTCCTCTTGCATGGAATTGAAGAGTGTATCTCATGCCCCGAGTTGTGTCCATGCTGGACATTGTTGTATGTACTTGGTTTACATCCCACTCCTCTTGCATGGAATTGAAGAGTGTACAGTATTTCATGCCTCCAGTTGTGTCCATGCTGGACATTGCTGTACTTGGTTTACATCAGGAGCTGAATTCTTGTTGTGATTAACACCCATACGTTTGAATGCTCCCAGAGAATTGTCTCTCTTGCCACTGTACACAGACACTGAGAAATATTGTAGCCCTGCTGAGGGCGGGTGTACTCTGTACTCAAACGTGGTGAGAAGGAAGTTTTTGTGGGTCAATATGCAAGATGGCTGTACTCTTATTACCCTTAGGAACTCTGGAGAACTGTTACGTTTTGATTTATTTATTGCATTTACAGCACAACTGTCTTCCCCAAAGAAGCAGGAGAGTGACAAAAGCCTGTCCGGAATGACCCTCCGGAAAGGCTGGAGGGCCATTTCCCTGCCCTGGATGGGGTTACACTCCCCCCAAGGGAGAGGGTCCGCACTCTGGCGGTGCTCCTGAACCCCAGTCTAACTCTGGAAGCCCAGGTGGACTCGGTGGCCAGGGGAGCCTTCTTTCAGCTGCGGAAATTATACCAGCTACGGTCCTACTTGGACAAGCAGAGTCTCATGATAGTTGCACATGCACTGGTAACATCTTATATAGATTACTGCAATGGGCTCTACGTGGGGCTGCCTTTGAAGACTGCAACTGGTCCAGAATCAAGCTGCATGGCTGGTGAGTGGTGGGGCTGCTAGGGAACACATCAAGCCGATTCTGATTAAATTGCATTGGTTACCAGTTGCTGCCCGGGCCCAATTCAAAGTGCTTGTTTTGACATATAAAGCCCTAAATGGCTTAGGCCCTGGATACTTGAAGGACCACCTCCTTCCATATGAGCCTACCCGGCAGTTAAGATCTAGCCAGGGGTCCCTTTTGAAAGAGCCATCCCTCAAGGAGGTAAGAGGGACGGCTTGTGGACAAAGGGCCTTTTCGGCAACTGCCCCCAGACTATGGAATGCTCTCCCATGTGAGATTTGTCTGGTGTCGACGCTCATGACATTTCGGCGCCGGGTCAAAACCTTCCTGTTCCAGAAGGCTTTTAATTGAAATAATATCAGCTGTGGATCCTGATGGCAATTTTTAGAGTATATATTTTTACTGTATTTTAATTGTAAGCCGCCCAGAGACCTTTGGGTACTGTGGGCAGCATATAAACTAAATAAATAAATAAAAACAGTTCTCATCCCTGTTTTTTCATCACAAAATAAATAAATAAATAAAAACAGTTCTCATCGCTGTTTTTTCATCACGGCAACCCTGTGAGGCAGGTTACACTGAGAGGTGGTGTAGTCCAAGGCTATTTAGCTCGGGTGGGGTTTTGAACCTACATCACCTGTATTTCTCTTGTTGCAAGGAGGCGGCCATAAAATCTTCACATCTGCTAACTAGACTGTTGGATCTATTAAACCTGTTTTCCACCCCCTCAAAGCTTCAGTACGTTATAGGAACAATCTGGTGGAAAATAGGCTGTTCAGTTAGATCCCCCTAATCTTAGGCAAGTTTTGCAGGCTTCCCAGAGGTGCTGCAGCCAAACAGAAGAAGCAGGATTTGCGCAATACAAATGGGTGGCAGCTTTTGCACAGGCCAAATGAAAGCTCAGATAGTAAGAAGTTGCTGATCAGCAACATATCTTCTACACAAGCATCTTCAAAATACCTTTAGCTATTACAGCTGACTGTTTACTTCTTAGCTGATGTCCATACATGGATTTTCTATTTTGCGTAGAGGGTACTTCGTGCTTCATCTTTCCAGTTTTTGTTAGCAGTAGTGCTGGGTAATTTTAGACTCTGGATGCAATGGATTTACAGGTGGATTTACACCTTTTAAAGGTGGCGATTACTTCATGTTCTTCAAAATGTGGCAAGCATCCGGCTCTGCTGCATTTGGGGGTCCTCCTTTTCATTTTTCTGAGTGGCCTATTTTATTCCCCACCTCCAAAGTCCAGACCTGATAGCACTACTGATTCCCCCCCCCCGCAGTAGTTGCTAGTGTGTCCCACCCTCCCCTGCAGCAAGTCTAGAAGAGAACACTTCTTGAATTGCTTAGTTTGGAAAGCATACAGTTCTGTGGTTATACAGTGGAGAATGTATGCCAATCACGCACTGCAGGTAAACACACCTCTTGACAGGTGACATGTAAAGCACTTAATGACTGAAAGGTGAATGTAATCTTCAGTGAATTCTAGAAGACTTCATCCATGCATGTTCAAAACTGCACTACACTCTTTGCCATTATGTGTGCAATAACAGCACAAGAGAGTCCAGCAGTATCTACAGACCTGCAGGGGGAAAAAAACCCCTCTGTAAAGTGAATTCCAGCTTTCTTTCTTCTCTGTAGTGGCACAGCAGTTTCTTTGTGTAGTTGCCTTAAGGTTTCAGCTTGAGGCAATTATGAATAAGCTTCAGTTCAGCTTCCTTGATGTTCTGTGTTCCTGGGTCCTGGAGATTGTTAAATAGAGGTTGTTTATTTTTTGATACATTGTTGAATAGAGGGATCATTATTTTAAAGTTGACCTTTCCACAGACTCGCACTAAACTCCAAATCTATTAATCTGTTAATTCCAGTGGAACCCAAAGAGGCTCAGCATCTGAGATTGACATCATGCTTTTTGCTCAATTTCAGCCCTCTTCCCATCGCCTTCTCTCTCCCCCCCCAGTCCCTAGACATCTGTGTCTGAGACTCAAGGCAGTATGCTGTAGGATGTTCATAAGGTTTTAATCATACAGATATAGGGATGTGATGGGGGAGAGGGAGAGAGACATATAGAGACCATGGTTTCTCTCCCCCCCCCATATGCAGTTTCCAAAATGTTGTGCCATGTTTTAAGGTCTAGTGGTGCCAGTGGGGAGAGGAGGGAGTTTTTGACACACTCTTGTTTTGCCTGTTTTTGTGGGGGGTCGGTATCGCTGGGATAAGGGCAAAATAGCAGTTATCTAGCCATCCCTGACACTCCAGAAGGGCAACAAGAGTGAACTGAGAGACAGAGGAAGAGAACTGTCAGATACATGGCTAATGCAAGAGAGAGAGAGAGAGAAAGAGAGAGAGAGAGAGTTGTGACTGGTAGGGGCGGGATCTCTGGATATTCTTAACAATAACATCTTCAGTGAACTTCACAGTGGAGTGTTTGGTGCTGTAGTTCTATTTTGTCTCTTTTCAGCCCTGTATATTTTTGTAGAGCCTTCTTGTGTTTGGGCAGCGGATCATACAGGCACACTTCAAAAGTCTTCAGTTTTCCACAGGAAATTGTAGAAGTGCAACTGAATCTCTCTCTCTCTCTCTCTCTCTGTGTGTGTGTGTGTGTAAGAGAGAGAGAAGAAAGAAGAAACAAAACTTTGTTGTATATACAGTGGTTTGGCTGGCCAGAGCCTTCAACTGTGCAACAGTCTTTTTCCTGGGGAGACTTCATGTCACTGCTTGTTTACTGATAGCTTGAGG